AGGATTCAGCATTGATGCTACAGGTCATTGCTTCCTGGTATACTTTTTCTTGTGCTCACACATTACTTTCAGTTTTTCAAAGAGCTTTTGCACACAAACAAAGGAACTTCTTTCTTGTGTGACTAATGTTGCTGCTTGTATCCAGATTAGAAAGGAAGGACATTGAAGTAACAAATGATAGAAAAATCATGTGAGTCCAGAATCTTTTGAACAGAATCAAATAACTGTTGTATCAGTCCTCCATATATGAAATGTTTTATACTGCATTTCGAAGCTGACTTCTATCATTTGAAAACTTTCAGATATCTTGATTATTTGCGCTAGTGAGGCACTGAGATGCTTTGCCTGACTTTCCAGCTTACTTACAGTGATACCTCTATACCCTTGGGGTAATAATCTTTGTTTTTATTTTTGTCTTTTATAAGACTTTGTTTTTCAGGAACAAGCAGCATATGGATCTTATTTATATCTTTCCTTCTGTAATATGTAATGGTGAAATCACTAAAATATACTAGTAGCCAGTAGTGATAGTGATCAACTCAGTTCCTTTTCAAGGTGGCCAGTATATCTTGAAACCACTTAACTATCATAACAATCCTAGAGACAAGCTCTTCTCCTGAGCCATTCTATAGATGAGGAAGCAGAAGTACAACACTGCTGTTCATACCCAGCATCAAATGAAAAACATAATATGTGTTTTGACTATAAGCTTTTTTAATAGAGACCCACGTTTTTCCAAATGTCAGCTTTCTTCAAACAGTGAAATTACTAAGATTGTGAGTCCAACATTCAAGCAAACTAAGACTGTCTTATTCATAAAACAAACTGGAAGCATGGTCTCATAGAGCTGGGAGGATCAATTTAATAATCTTAATCTGTGTAACTGGATTTATGGTGAGGTCTTTGATCCACTTGGACTTGAGTTTTGTGCATGATGATAGATATGGATCTATTTGCAGTCTTCTATATGTTGACATCCAGTTATGCCAGCACCATTTGTTGAAGATGCTTACTTGTTTCCATTGTACAATTTCGGCTTCTTTGTAAAATATCAGGTGTTCATAGGTGTGTGGATTAATGTTAGGGTCTTCAATTTGATCCCATTGGTCCACATGTCAGTTTCTATGCCAGTACCAAGCTGTTTTTATTACTATAGCTCTATAGTAGAGCTTGAAATAAGTGATCGTGAAGACTCCAGAGGTTGCTTTATTATACAGGATTCTTTTAGCTATCCTGGGTGTTTCGTTTTCCATATGAAGTTGAGTATTGTTCTTTCTAAGTCTGTGAAAAAAATGTGTTGGGATTTTGATGGGGATTGCATTGAATCTGTATATTGCTTTTGGTAAGATTGCCATTTTTACTATCGTTAGAAGAGAAATTAGGAAGTAGTCTTGACTGCATTGGCACAAGAGACCACTTCCTAAATATAACACCAGTAGCACAGACACTGAGAGCAACAATTAATAAATGGGACCTCTTGAAACTGAGAAGTTTTTGTAGGGCAAAGGATACAGTCAATAAGCCTACAGAATAAGAAAAGGTCTTCACCAACCCTACATCTGACAAAGGGCTGATCTCCAAAATATATGAAGAACTCAAGAAACTAGACATCAAAATACCTAACAATCCAATTAAAAATGGGCTACAGAGCTAAACAGAGAATTCTCAACAGAAGAATCTCAAATGGCCAAAAGACATTTAAGGAATTGTTCAACATCCTTAGCCATCAGGGAAATGCAAATCAAAACTACTCTGAGATACTATCTTACACCTGTCAGAATGGCTAAGATCAAAAACACTGAAGATAGCTTATTTTGGAGAGGATGTGGAGCTAGGGGAACACTCCTGCACTGTTGGTGGGAGTGCAAACTTGTACAGCCACTTTGGAAATCAGTATGACGGTTTTTCGGAAAATTGGGAATCAATCTTCCTCAAGACCCAGCTATACTGCTCTTAGACAAATACCCAAGGAATACTCAATCATACCACAAGGACACACACTCAACTATGTTAATAGCAGCATTATTCATAATAGCCAGAACCTGAAAGCAACCCAGATGCCCGTCAGCTGAAGAATGGATAAATAAAATATGGTACATATACACAATGGAGTACTACTCAGCAGAGAAAAACAGTGACATCATGAAATTTGCAGGAAAATGGATGGAACTAGGAAATATCATCCTGAGTGAGGTAACCCAGACTCAGAAGGACAAACATGGTATGTACTCACTCTTAAGTGGATACTAGATGTAAAGCAAAGGATAACCAGACTGCAACCCACTGCTCCAGGGAGGCTAGTTAGCAGGGAGGACCCTAGGAAGGATACATGGATTGCCCAGCAGAGGAAAAATAGATGAGATCTACATGAGCAAACTGGGGGTGGGGGAGTAATAGAGGGCAAGTGATAGGGGATGAGAACAGGAAGTTCAAGCTGGAACAGGGACAGAGTGGGAGAGCAAGGTAAGAGATTCCATGATAAATGAAGACATCATGGGAATAAGGCGAAATAGAGTACTAGGGAAGGTCCCTGGAATCTACAAGGATGACCCCACCTTAGACTACTGGCAATAGTCGAGAGGGTGCCTGAACTGGCCTACTCTGGTGATCAGATGGCTGAATACCATAACTGTCATCATAGAACCCTCATCCACTGACTAATGGAAGCAGATCCAGAGATCCATGGCCGGGCTCCATGCCGAGCTCCAGGAGCCCAATCAATGAGAGAGAGGAGAGATTCTATGAGCAAGGGATGTTGAGATCATATGTGGAAATACACAGAGACAACCAGCCAAACTAGTGGAAATGGATGAACTGTAGACCAATAGCTGAGGAGCCCTCATGGTACTGGACTAGTCCCTCTGGATAGGCGAGACAGTTGTTTAGCTTGAACTGTTTAGGGATCCCCAGGCAGTGGGATTGGGACCTGTCCCTGGTGCATGAGCCATCCTTTTGGAGCCTAGTGCCTATGGTGGGACAGTTTGTGCAGCCTTGGTGCAGGGAGGAGTGTCTTGGACCTGCCTCAACTGAGGGTACCAGGCTCTGCTGACTCCCCATGGGAGACCTTGCCTTGCAGGAGGAGGGAATGGGGGGTGGGTTACAGGGGAAGGCTAGGGGAACAGAAGGAGGGAGGAGAGGGGAATCTGTGGTTGGTATGTAAAATGAATAGAAAATCTCTTAATGAAAAATAATCTTAATCTGTTTGATTTCTTAGAACTTCAGTTGTATTTACAAGAGTGTCAATATAGTTTCATCTGTGAGAATTAAACTAATAAACATGTAAGAACCTAATGATACCAGGCTCAATTTAGATTATTAATAAACATTTTAATTCTTTCAATCTTGCCGACTGAATATATAAATCATATTCTTGTTCTTGACCTATACTGTGAATTTACATGTAACTCATTGTAATTTTAATCATCTTTGCACTTAACATAGATATGCTTATATGTAACATTTCATAATTGCATTAAATTAATTTCATAGTTTTATCATTAGTTGCAAATCTGTCTTTAATACTATAATTTTTCTCTGAGTCAACAGCAATCCAACTTCTTCGCAATTTACTTAAAAAAACTTACTTTGTCCCTATTCAATATATTCCTATTTATCTATGTTAGAGATGATGTCACATGGAAGTCTGAATATATTTCAGTTTTTGTTGAAAATTTCTTCTGCTATAGTAGCTAGAAAATGGAGTTTTTATTTTTGTTTGAATGTCCTGTACAATGTATTTAAACCAAACTCATCCCCTCTCTCAACTTCTTGTAGATCCATCACCCTTTACCTACCCAACTTCATGTCCTTAAAAAAAAAATTATCAACTACAGTTTGTGCTGTCCACATTCTTTTGGATATGTGGTCTTTCACTGGAGCATTGTGGGTCTATCAAGGGCCACATCTTCTAAGAAAATTGACTCTCTCTTTCCCAGTAGGTATCAGTTGCCAGTAGTTCCTCGGGAAGTTGTATGTCATAATGCTCACTTCTCTCCATGTTTGGATTTTGTCTGGTTTGGACTTGTGCATGCTGTCACAATTGCTCTGAGTTCATATGTCAACTGTCTTACTGTATTGAGGCAACACTATTTCCTGTGGTCATCTACCACCTCTGACTTTTGTACTCAATCCTCCTCTTCTTCCAAAAAAAATTCTGAGTCTTGGTTGGAGGGGGATGTGACATAGATGTCATATTTAAGACTGAATTTTTCCCAGTCTCTGTTCTCTGAACCTTGACTGATTGGGGGTCTCTATGTTAATCACTGTCCACTGCAAGAAGAAATTTCTCTAAAATTGGTAGGAGGCTAAGCCTCATAGAATGTCAGTATCACTGTCCGTAAACATTCTAAGAATGCTTCTCTAATACTTAAGTTAATAAAATGCAATTAGAGAGAAATGGAAAATTCACCAGATATTTAGTTTCAAAAGAATATGAATTTACAAATTTAAATGATTTCCCATACTGGTTTATTGATTAATTGCTTCTGCATCTTCATAATATGGCAACTTTCACCAGAGGGCAGCAATAGGTTGTATGTTTTTTAAGTCTTTTATTTCTTGATTTTGACTGAGAAAGAATCATCTACCCATTGAAGAATATTAGAGGTATAGTAATATAGTGAGTTCCTAATAATTGTAAAAGAATAAAACAAGCTATGGATAATATTAGCAAATTGTTGTCATGATTATTTCCAAAAAATAAAATAAGCCATGGATAAGATTAATAAATTATTTTCAGTAATTATTTTAATAACTACGTGTAGTCCTTTGAATATAATATGCACCTTCACTTAAAAGCTAAATAAACTTAACAAGTTTGTACAAATTTACCACATAATCCAATCTATATTAGACTCATTTTTTTCTCCTTTTTTAAAATTTATTTAAATTTTTTTTCCATTTTACATACCAACCACAGTTCCCCCTCCCTCTCCTTCTCCCACTGTCCCCCCAACCCCCCATCCACTCCTCATAGAGTATAAGGCCTCCCTTGAGGAGTCAACAAAGTCTGGCATACCAAGTTTAGGCAGGACCAAGCCCCCTTCCCCCTGCATCAAGGCTGAGCAAGATATCCCACCATAGGGAATGGGCTCCAACAAAAGTCAGTTCATGCACCAGGGATAAATCCTGGTTCCACTGCCAGGGGCCCCACAAACATATCAATCCACACAACTGTCACCCACATTCAGGGGGCTTACTTTGGTCCCATGCAGGTTCCCCAGCTGTCAGACCAGAGTCTGTGAGGTCCCACTAGCTTGGGTTAGCTGTCTCTATGGTGTTCCCCATCATGATCTTATACACCCTTTGCTCATGTAATCCCTCCTCCCTATCTTCAACTGGACTCCAGGAGCTCAGCCCAGTGTTTAGCTATAGATCTCTGTATTGGCTTCCATCAGTTACTGGATGAAGGTTCTATGATGACAATTAGGGTAGTTACCAATCTGATTACAGGAAAAAGCCAGTTCAGACACCCTCTCTGCTATTGCTAGGTGTCTTAGCTGGGGTCATCCTTGTGGGTTCCTGGAACTTTCCCTAGCTCCAGGTTTCTCCCTAACCCCATAATGGCTCCCTCAAGATATCTCTTTCATTGCTCTCTGTAGCCAGAAGATTTCCTGTGTCCCAGCCTGCCAGGACAAATCTCTCCCACTCGTGTCCCCCAAGTAAACAAAAGGAGGCTTATATTAATTATAACTGCATGGCCATGGCTCAAGCTTTTTGCTAGCTAGTTCTTATATTTTAAATTATCCCATAACTATGAATCTATGTATTGCCACATATTCCATGGCTTTACCTGTGTCCTATTACATGTTGCTCCTTGGAGAGATAGCTGGTGTCTCCTCACCTTTTTCCTGTCTCTCTCTTTGAATTTCCTACCTGCCTCCAAGCTGCCTTGCCATAGGCCAAATAGCTTTATTTATCAACCAGTCACAGCAACACATATTCCCAGCATACAGAAAGACATTCCCCCATCACTTCCCCTTTTCTGTCTAAACAAAAGGAAGATTTTAACTTTAACCTATTAAAATTGCATAATAACAAAACAGTTGTCAAGCAAGAATTATAGTTACAATATCTAGTCTATTTGTATTTAGCAAAATTAAAGAAGATATCCTATCTATCCTATATTTGTGAGTCTAAGATTTCATATCTACCTTATCTCTTTTCATAACCAAGGGAAACCATAATTAGAACTATCTAGTCTTCAACTACATCAAAGACCTCAGAAGGATATAATATTACCTAAGTAAACAAGAAATGTACTGTAAGCAACTTTCAAAAATATAGAATGGCCGGGCGGTGGTGGCGCACGCCTTTAATCCCAGCACTCGGGAGGCAGAGCCGGGCGGATCTCTGTGAGTTCGAGGCCAGCCTGGTCTCCAAAGCGAGTTCCAGGAAAGGCGCAAAGCTACACAGAGAAACCCTGTCTCGAAAAACCAAAAAAAAACAAAAATATATATATATAGAATGACAGAGACAGCTGCCTGCCTGGACAGTCATCCAAAATTCTTCTGCATCATTGGGGCATCCATCTTTAGCACATAGGCCTAAAGTCTCTCAGTCACTTTTCTCTGTGTCCCGTAGAATGTCTGGCAGTCTCTTCTGCAAAGCAGGAACCTGAATGACTATCTTGCCTTGCAAAGTTCAGTGGTCACCTTCCTATGGGTCCTGCATGTCCAGTTGGTACAACATTTTGTCAAGCAGTCCAGGCAAGAACAATTCCTTGCCCAAATGGCTATTTTTGCCAAGAAGAAGATAAACTCCATATGGAGTATCTTCCATGCCCATCTTTCTCTTTGAAGTAAATTGGTGCTTCAAAGCACAGTATCTCATTGTTCAGAAAGTCTAAGTTTTAACACATTTTAAATGCCATATTCTGTGGGCCTTTGAAGTGTTTGAAGATTACCTACCTAATTGAATTATATCTATGTATACCTAGAAAACTTAGCATGACTATAAGTTTGACTATCATAGAAGACTAATTATTAATCTGTATTTCTTAATTATCCTTTACAATTTAAATGAGCTGCACAAACATAACACCTTAAACAAGAGTAGAAATATACATACAATATAACAAAATTAACTTTCAATTTGTATCAATAAACTACATAGCAATGTAAAACATTTCAAATAAGTTTTGCTCTTTAAAAGTAGGTTCAATAATCTACCCTTTCATCCTATCATATATTTCTATATCATATCCTCCTTTCTTTTTTAGAAAGAGATTGACTATGACCAATAACAATTTGTAACCCACAACCTAAACAAAGGCAAACATCCATAATCCATTCTTGGGGAATGTGGGCGTAGTTTTTTAAGCTACTTCTTGCTGATAGAGGGTACTGGTAATCTTATGGAAACACAAAGAATATTTTAGGATTATGGTCAAGTCCTGACAGGAGTAGTCTGTAAGGCTGTATTCTCTGAGCCAGTTGCCTTGAAGCTGATTTTGGATGTTGGATGATCTGGGCCAAGGTATCATCAGAGACCTTTCAGGGAGTCTTGGCTGGTCAAACCATATTAGCCTGGAAGCAATCCACAGGTTCTCATCTTCTGTGGAAATAAAAGCAGAAACTCTTTTCCAAAGACATAAATTTCAAAATCAAGATACCTTTAAAACATACATACTGATTTAACTCAGTAACTTTTACAATCAAATGTCTCTCTGCTGTTAAAAATCCCAAAGACAACACAATCCAGATTCACTGTGTAATATCCATCTTTATGTGGCTTATTTTTTATACTACCTTTACTGTTTCTTTAAAGACTTTATTTTTTAAAACTATTTCTTTATATAACTATCTATATTCATTTTCTTCTCTCTTCCAAGCCTACATACATTTTTACACACATTGCAAACTATTTAAAGTCTTGTTCCATCTGAATCTGCCTTATTGTGAATCTGTTGCTTTAAACTGCAGCATTACTAGAACTGAAACGGTGGCTTTGGCTGCTGGCTCCGCCCACCTCACCTTTCCAATATGATGGAGGTAATTCACCTCCAGCTCTGGGCCATGTGTACCACCAACTCTCAGAAGCAGTGGATCTATGCTTCTATCAAAGCAGCATGTAGCCTTGAAACCTCTTTTTTTTTCTTTCCTGTACTAACAAAAGCTACATCTGTCACAGTGCAGGGCACTGTGCAGCTTGGAGATGCCACTGTGTACTGTGGCAGAAATCCGCCATGCTGCACTTAAGCCCACACACTGCTGCGAACCCGCCATACTGTAGCTCACAGCTTGCCTGAGAGACACAACTAGGAAGCTGTCTTTAGCTCCGTTTTAGAATCTTTTATTTTTAAAGCTTTCTCAGGTTTAGGTTGAAACTTTTGCCCCACATTTTGGCACCATTTGTAGCCAGAAGATTTCCTGTGTCCCAGCCTGCTGGTAGTTGGAACAAATCAATCCCACTCACATCCCCCAAGTAAACACACAGAGGCTTATATTAATTATAACTGCTCAGCCATTAGCTCAGGCCTACCACTGACTAGCTCTTGTACTTAAACTCAGCCCATTTCTGTTCATCTATATGTTACCACGTGTTCCATGGCTTTACCTCTGTGCCTTTACATGCTGCTCCCTGGACCACGGTGAGCTGGTGTCTCCTGACTCAGCCCTTCCTCTTCCCAGAATTCTCTTTGTCTCTTTATCCTGCCTATACTTCCTGCCTGGCTTACTGGCCAATCAGCTTTTTATTTATCAACCAATCAGAGCAACACATATTCACAGCACACAGATCGACATCACCCATCATTTCCCTTTTCTTTCTACATGTCAACATCCAGTTATGCCTGCACCATTTGTTGAAGATGCTTTCTTTTTTCCATTGTACAGTTTTGACTTCTTTGTCTAAAATCAGGTGTTCATGCCTGTGCAGATTAATGTCAGGGTCTTCAGTTTGGTTCCATTGATCCACGTGCTTATTTTTATGCCAATACCAAGCTATTTTTATTACTGTAGCTCTATAGTAGAACTTGAAGTCAGGGGTGGTGATGCCTCTGGAAGTCCCTTTATTATACAGGATTGCTTTGGCTATCCTGGGTTTTTTTTGTATTTCCATATAAAGTTGAGTATTGTTATTTCAAGGTCTGTGAAGAATTGTATTGGGTTTTTGATAGAGATTGCATTGAATCTGTAGATTGCTTTTCGTAAATTGTCATTTCTGCTATGTCGATCCTACTTATCCAAGAGTGTGGGAGATCTTTCCATTTTCTGATATTTTTTTTCGATTTCTTTCTTCAAAAACCTAAAATTCTTGTCATATATGTCTTTCACTTGTTTGGTTAGAGTTACCCCAAGATATATTATCTTATTTGTGGCTATTATAAAGAGTGTTGTTTCTCTGATTTCTTTCTCAGTCCATTTATCATTTGTATAGGGGAGGGCTACTAATTTTTTTTTAGTTAATCTTGTATCCAGCAACATTACTTTGTTTCTATTTTATTGATTTCAGTCTGTTAGTAAATTGATGGCTGAAACTGCAAGGAGACAGTTCAGCCCTAGAGGGCAAGGTATCCTGGATACCTCGAGCTACTCAGAACAAGAGCTCTGCCCTGAAGGTGTGCTAAACAGCTCCAGGTGTCTGGGACTGCAAAGAAACAGCCCAACCTTGGAAAAAAAATTTTCCTGACTTCTCGGGAGAGTCAGGCCTGGAACTACTTCAGCAAGGAAGGGTATCCTGACTCTTTGGGAAAGTCAGAGTATCCTGACACTTCGGGAAAGTCAGGATATACCTGGTGTGATGGGGGATGGTCTTTTTGCAGGACACAGCAATCCTGCTCCTCTCCTGGAGAGCCACAATCTCTGACTCAGTGTTATCAGCTCTCTCTTGCTCAGTCCACTATGGGATATTCCAGCAAGGTTCTTCTGTTCAGCTCCTCCTTGCTCAGTCCACTATGGGATATTCCAGCAAGGTTCTTCTGTTCAGCTCCCCCTTGCTCAATCTACTATGGGATGTCCCAGCAAGGTTCTTCTGTGCACCAGTGAATGAAGGTCTTCACCCAAAACTCTTTTGAGAAAGAGGTTTATTTGAGAAGGAGGAGTCCAGGAGAGTAGCTGCCTCTACCAGGGTGGAGAGAACAGCTCACAACTGACCAGGCAGGGTGGTTTATATAGGATGTCTAGGGGGTGGAGTCCACTGTGATTGGTTAGTTTTATTCTGCCCAGGGATTGGCCAGTTTTGTGGGCAAGGGGCAGAGATGGCCCTGATTTCAGGGCCAAATTATGGTTCTTTCACCGGCCTTTCTTGGCTTTTTGAAACTATCTCTAAGGCCAGGGCACATTTCTTTCACTGACTCTGATTCTAGGTGCCAAGAGTGTTATTTTAGTACTAGTTTCAGAGTCAGGGCATATTTCCTGGGTTCTGGGTTTGGGGATAAAGTGTTCATTTCTCTGGCTCAGGTCCCAAACACAGCCTGTGTTTCTTTCCCTGGTCCTGGGCCCTAGGGCCAGGATTCTGCTGTCTTGCTCTGTGACTTGTTGGTTTCACAAGTCAGTTGGACAGGGGCAGAGATGGCTCTGATCTGAGCTAAACTGTGTTTCTCTCACTGGCCTTACTTAGCTTTTTGATACTACCTCTAAGGCCAGGGCACATTTCTTTCACTGACTCCGATTGTAGGGGCCAAGATTGTTTCTTTGGTACTAGTTTCAGAGTCAGGGCATGTTCCCTGGGTTCATTTCTCTGGCTCAGGTCCCGAACACAGGCTGTGTTTCTTTCCCTGGTCCTGGGCCCTAGGGCCAGGATTCTGCTGTCCTGCTCTATGATTGGTTGGTTTCACAAGTCAGTTGGACAGGGACAGAAATGGCTCTGACCTGAGCTAAACTGTGTTACTCTCACTGGTCTTATCTGAGCCATCCTTCCCTAACTCTGGGCTCCAGGGTCAGGGTGGGTTTCTTTAGCCAGCCCCTTTTCCCTACACAGCCCTCCATTTGATTATTTCCTGTTTTCTACTCCTCCTGGGTGAATTTGCTTCTTTTTGTTCTAGAGCTTTCAGGTGTGCTGTTAAGTCGCTGGTGCGAGATTTCTCCAAACCCTTTATAAGTACTTACTGTTATGAACTTTTCTCTTAGATCTGCTTTCATGGTGTCCCATAAGTTTGAGTACATTGCACATTCATTTTCATTGAATTCTAGGAAGTCTTTAATTTCTTTATTTCTTCCTTGACCCAGCAGTGATTCAGTTGTTTCCATGAGTTTGTAGGCTTTCTGCAATTTGTGTTGTTGTTGGATTCTAACTTTAGGCCATGGTGATCCAATAAGATACAGGGGGTTATTCCAATTTTTCGTATCTATTGAGGTTTGCTTTGTGACTGAGTATGTGGTCAGGTCTAGAGGAGGTTCCATGAATTGCTGAGAAGAACGTATGTATATTCTTTTGTGTTTGGGTGAAATGTTTAAGTCCATTTGAGTCATAACTTCTTTTAGACCCCTTATTTCTCTGTTAAGTTTTTGTCTGGAAGATCTGTCTAGTGGTGAGAATTGGATGTTGAAGTCTTCCACTATTAGTGTGTGGGTTTGATGTGTGATTTAAGCTTTAGCAATGTTTCTTTTACAAATGTGGGCACCCTTGTCTTTGGGGCATAAATGTTCAGAATTGAGACTTCATCTTGATGAATTTTTTCTGTGGTGAATATGAAATGTTCTTCCTTTTGATTAATTTTAGTTTGAAGTCTATTTTGTTAGATATTAAGATAGCTACACCAGCTTGTTTCTTAGGTCCATTTGAATGGAAAATCTTTCCCAACTCTTTACTCTGAGGCAATGACTGTCTTTGAGGTTGAGGTGTGTGTTTTGTATGCAGCAGAAGGATGGATCCTGTTTTCATATCCATTCTGTTAGCCTGTGTCTTTTATAACTGAATTGAGTCCATTGATATTAAGAGATATTAATGATCAGTGATTGATGATTCTTGTTATTTTTGGTTTTGTTGTTGTTGTTGGTAGTGTGTATGTGTTTTCCTTCTTTGGGATTTGCTGCTGTGAGGTTATCTGTTGCTCATGTTTTCATGGATTCAGTTAACTTCCTTGGGTTGGAGTTTTCCTTCTAGCACTTTCTATAGGGCTGGATTTGTGGATAGGTATTGTTTAAATCTGGTTTTGTCATAGAATATCTTGTTTCCTCCATCTCAATGATTGAAAGCTTTGCTGGGTAGAGTAGTCTGGGTTGACATCCCTGGTATCTTAGTGTCTGCAAAATGTCTGTCCAGGACCTTTTGGCTTTCAGAGTCTCCACTGAGAAATCAGGTGTTGTTCTTATGGGTCTGCCTTTATGTGTTTCTTGGCTTTTTTTTTTCCTTTGCAGCTCTTAATATTCTTTCTTTATTCTGTATGTTTAGTGTTTTGATTATTATGTGGTGAGGGGACTTTGGTGGGGGGAGGTTCAGTCTATTTGGTGTTCTGTAAGCTTCTTGTACCTTTGTAGGCATGTCCTTCTTTAGTTTGGAAAAGTTTCCTTCAATAATTTTGTGAAATATATTTTCTGTGCCTTTGAGCTGCAACTCTTCTCCTTCTTCTATCCCTATTCTTCTTAGGCTGGTCTTTTCATATTCCAGATTTT